AAACTCCTGTTGATCCAGCTGACGAGTCTGTACCTCCGAGGCGTTCCACACGGGTTAGGAACACACCTTCGTTTTATTATGGTTTTCATATTACTACGGAAGGTGATACGTTTATTAGTGATAGTACACTAGTAAATTTGGATGAACCTAGCAGTGTTAAGGAAGCCATGGCAGGCCCGGAGTCTGCTAAATGGAAGGAGGCTATGGACAGCGAGATACAGTCCATGTATGACAATCAAGTTTGGAACTTGGTTGACAATGTACCAGGCCGTAAAACAGTCGGGTGCAAATGGATCTTCAAGAAGAAGACGACATGGAAGGAAAAGTGCATACTTATAAGGCTCGACTGGTTGCGAAGGGTTTTACTCAAACTCAAGGTGTTGATTATGATGAAACCTTCTCGCCGGTAGCAAAGATTAAGTCTATTAGGGTTATGTTAGCCATTGCAGCATTTCATGATTATGAAATATGGCAAATGGATGTCAAAACCGCTTTCCTTAATGGAAAGTTGGCTGAGGATGTGTACATGAATCAGCCAGAGGGTTTTGTCAATGCAGAGTACCCTAATAGAGTATGCAAGCTTGAGAAATCCATTTATGGATTAAAACAAGCATCTCGTAGCTGGAATCTTTGTTTTGATGAGAAGGTAAAAGAGTTTGGCTTCTTGAGAAGCGAAGATGAGTCTTGCGTGTATGTCAGAGCTAGTGGGAGTATAGTTAGCTTCTTGGTACTGTATGTGGATGACATACTACTCATAGGAAATGACATCCCAACCTTGCAGGAGGTTAAGTCCTGGCTTGGGAAGTGCTTTGCTATGAAGGACCTAGGGGAGGCTACCTATATCCTAGGGATAAGGATATTAAGAGAAAGGAGTAGAAGACTAATTGGACTTAGTCAGAGTATCTACTTGGATAAGGTGTTGAAAAGGTTCAACATGGAGAATTCCAAGAAAGGAGATTTACCGATCCAAAGCAATACCAAACTGAGTAAGACTCAGAGTCCGAGTACAGAGGCAGAGATAGCTGAGATGAGCCAATTACCATATGCTTCCGCAGTTGGCTCGATCATGTATGCTATGACTTGTACCCGTCCTGATGTGGCATTTGCTTTGAGCATGGTCAGCAGGTATCAGGGGAACCCTGGCAAGGCTCATTGGACCGCGGTAAAGAACATTCTCAAGTACCTGCGGAGGACTAAGGATTGGATCCTTACCCTTGGTGGCAGTGATGACTTGAGAATATTAGGGTATAGTGATGCTGGTTTTCAGACTGATAGGGATAATTTCCGCTCTCAGTCGGGCTGGATCTTTACCTTAAATGGAGGGGCAATTTCTTGGAAGAGTTCCAAGCAGGAGACGGTGGCTGATTCGACTTGTGAATCAGAGTATATAGCAGCGAGTGAAGCAGCGAAGGAGGCGATATGGCTAAAGAACTTCATCGGAGACCTTGGAGTTGTACCAGCTATTAAGGAACCTATAGAGATTTTCTGTGACAACAATAGTGCGGTTACCTTAGCCAAGGAACCAAGAGATCATGGCAGATCCCGACACATTGACAGAAAATATCACTTCATAAGACACAAGATTGAAGAAGGACTCCTTGTGACAAGGAGGATATCGTCGGATGAGAATCCTGCAGATCCCCTTACGAAGGGACTGACGAGGGTTAAGCATTTTCAGCATGCGAGACGCATCGGGCTGAGGGACGATATTAGTTTTACAGATTAGATAGTTTTCCTGAAACTTGTAAAATGTAATCGACGTTTGATGATGAATAAAATTTGTGATTTATTTATGAGTAAAGTGTTACTATCATTGTCAATTATTTACTATTGTTTCAGTTTTGCATGTTTTGACTTCCAGAATAATTAATTTATTCAAACCTCCACAATCGATCATACGTCGGAAGTAGGTATGAATCAAGATTGTCATGAATTGGGTTTGTAGATGCCTTAAAGGTGTTTAGACATGGCAATGGTTGCTGCAACATTCATGAGTACTCATAAGTTATGAGTATTGGTATAAACCCACGCTCACTTGTATCACTTCATGGAATTTATCTCGAGTGATCGTGAGACGATAACATCATATAAATCTTTAAACCTAGAGATATGAGTTGTTACCTATGAGTTGGTTGTGCATTGATTGCACGTAAACGCATCAGTAACTTGATGTTATAAAACGTGCCTTTGTGTACAATTCAATAAGTAGTAGAACAAGCATATCAGTCGAAGTTTATCTGTTCCTTCTAGAAATAGAAGCGATATCTGGGCCCCTCGATGATTTTGTGTTGACCCATGTACCAGGCCTGGTCAGAACTAAACCGATGTGTTCAGTGAAGTTCTTCGTCAAACAAATCGGAAAATCGAGAAACAACTGCTAGACAATAAGCAAGACATAGTTCCATGTGTTTGTCCGGCTGATATCATGAGAACAGAGGATTATGTGATCACTTATCTAAAATGGCGCTTCATAGTTCGACAGAGTCTTCATTGTTCGAGGGAGTTTTCGAGAGCTACGATTGTTGGTTGGTTCCTGAAGTTATAGGCAAATATAGTTATTAGACTTATCCAAGTGGGAGTCTGTTGGATAAGGTGTCTAAGTCCATAACTTATTTGGTATATACTTGACCCGACCGGCATGGTCCATTTGGGTTGCATCTCATCCAAACTATTATGGATAATTTTATGAGAGTTATACACATATGTTTATTAATATATTATGAGTTATAATATATTAATATGAAGTTACGTTATTTAATTAGTTTTAGTCTTAAATTAATTATGAATTAATTTAGAGATTAAAAGGAATACTAATTAAATTATGGGCTATTTGTTTTATATAGTGTGGGCTAATACTCATTTGTTAATGGGCTAGGCTTATGTGGAAGTCCATGGATGATCCATGGAGCTTTTAACCCATGGATCCTTGGAAAAGGAAAAGACATGGGTTATTAGGGTTTCACCCTAACCATGCACACTATATAAGCATGCTTATGGAGCATGAAATGGAGCCTAAGAGAAAACTAGTGAACTAGTGTGTGTGTGCATGTGTGTGGCCGATTTATACAAGGTGTATATACTCTCTCAAAGTTTTCCAAGAGTTTGTGGTGTTTGTGATTCCATTTGAGGCATTCACACTATTGGTGCTTGGCCCTCAAACTCCTTAGAACCAAACTCACCAAAAGGTATGTAATCTCTTCTAACTCTTTTATGGTTGAAATGTTCCCCATGCCATGTTAGATAGGTTATAAACCTTGGAAAATTATTATTTTGCATGTATTTAGACAAACATAGATCCAAGGTTTATTAGGGTTGCATGCACACTTAGGAAGTGTTAGATTGCTCAAAACCCAACACTGACTACCCATGTCTAGCCATTCTGGGGTGCTGACTACCCGTGTTAGGCCATTCTGGGGGTGCCTGCCTACCCTCCGGTCTATCTCACCCGGTCACGGGGAGTATTTCACCCCCTACTACTATCACATAATAACATATCATAAACATGCTGTCAGGCATATCTGGGGTGTCCGACCTACCCTTCGGTCCTAACAACCGATTAGGGGGACTATTCCCCTCCTACTACCACTATCACATAAAACATAACATACTGTCACATTGAACACGTCAAGTAAAACCAGACAATTATCACAAAGACAATCATCTCAACTATAATCAACTACTAGTGGGTCATCCTTTGTGCCTTCGGCCCACTTCTACTGGAAGGTAACTCACCTCACACTGCTGAAGTCCTACAGACCCAACCCGAGCTGCTAGATGACAGGTTCCTGAACTGTTAGCATCAAAACAACACCCAATTAATAATTCGGTTCCAATAAATAACCATAAGTCCATGCTTGGGGTAAAAGACTGCTTAACACCAATCTTAGCTTGATCTAAGCCTAAGGCCCAATCTAAAGGCCCAAAAGTTAACTATTGGTTAAAGCCCAACAGATGGACCAATTCTCCAAATTGGGCCCAAACCTTTATAAGGTCTCACCATAAGGCCCAACCATTTAGTCTAGTCCAACATTCAACATTCTAATGGCCCAATATCACATAATCATAAATGCCCATCTATGGCCTAATTTTCCAAATTAGACTCAACTCCTCATATGGGCCTTACCTCAAAGCCCATTAATTATTCTAGTCCATTTGCTTGATCTTGGATGGCCCATTAATAACCCAATCATCAAGGCCCAATAAAAAGGCCCAACAATAAACCCAAGTGAAATTAGGGTTTTACATGAAATGACAATTAGGGTTAAGTGTTTCTCACTTAGCCCATTAAGGACTTAATCCATTAAGTCCATCACTCTTCTTAATAAATCATATGGTGTGATTAGGCTTAATACACAATTCCATTCCAATGGCCCAATGTGGGTCTCGATAAGTCTAAGCCCATAAATCCAACATTAGGGTTTTCTAAACCCTAATTAGGGTTTCCCAGCCCATCTTAGCCCAATAGGCCCAATAGCTAGGTCTTTTGATCAGTTAGGGTTCATTAGGCCCATTAGTAACATGTTTGGGCTTTTAGGCCATTTCAGGCTTCATTGGGCCCATTAGGGTTTCAGTCCCTTGTCCAAACATTCCAAACGAGTCACAAACCAAACAAGGCACACCACCACCCGACACAAAGGCCGGTGGTGGTTAGGGTTTCTTTCTCATTATTCCATTTTTCTTTTACAATTTACAATGAAATACCAAAAGTAACACCCACCCTAACTAACATAAATACACACACATGGCGGCACATGGTGGCAGCCACCACCTCACGGTGTTAGCGGTGGTTGTTCTCGGTCTTCCGGCTAGACAAACATACACAACACATACTACACCAAACAATTGGCTGAAACTAACACACCTATGCATTGCATACACCATCACTTAACAATGGTGGTTGGCGGCGACAACTTGATGGTGGAATCACGGAGAGGTAGCAACGGCGGTCCTAGTGATTGGCAGCACCCTTGGCGGCCGATCTGAGTGGTGGCAGATGGTGACTATGGCTTGGAACGAATCACCGGAAAATGGATGAGAGGGATGGTGGAACCGTGAGTGACAAAAGCGGTGGCAGGAGGCACTCCATCCTCGTCTTCAGCAACGACGACTATCGGTAGCTTCGTCTCTTCGTTGGAATTTATCATAGCGATAGCAGCGAGGCGGCAAAGGGTTCGACAGTGCTGGTTACTAATAGCGATTGATGAAGTAGCAGCGCATGGCGGTTGTGCGACTGTGCTAGGTGGTCGGAGAACGGACGTAATGAATGGTGGCATTGCCCATTCAACTCCCACTTCCTTGTCATCCAACGTCCTCAACTCGTTGAACTCATCCTTGTTGGCCGCAAGCACGATGAAAGTCCGGTAGTCACGGTGGTTGCTTGTTGATCGGAGATAGGATGGTAGCGGCATCGGTAGGGAGGTATAAGGTTGGGAGGCGGTTGTAACATGGTCTTTAGGGTTATGGTTCGCATTGCATAAATACCCGACACCCGCTCAAACTCCATTCCATAATGTCACAAATAGTCCCTCTCCACATGATTCCTTTCACAGAAAGTCCATAATTTACTCTTTCCACCCCTGCTCACATAATTCCTTACATATTTAGTCCCATAGTTACCATTCAACCCCTCATTTACAAATTATTCTCAAATAAAGTCCATGTGTTACCCTTTTAGCCCCAGCCTTCAAAACTCTTTACAAATTGAGCCCAAAATTTACCATTTAGCCCTTGCTTCTCATAATCTATCCATCTTAAGTCCTAATAATTTACCGAGTGGTCCTTACCTTCATAAATATTTAAAAAACCAATCCAGAACTTACACTTTTAACCCCCAACTACTAAATTATGCTAATTTACTCCTTGAAACCAACACCTTGCTATATAATTATTGATTTGGGGTTACTATTCATTCATTAATTTATTTTATTTATTTATTTAATAAATGGGGTGTTACAATATCAAGTTGCGATACGAAAATGATATAAAATTATATATTACTTCTCTCATAAACTTAATTGTCTATCTTTATGTGATTAAATATAAAACTCATACCCATTAAATTGTAACAAATAAAAAATCAAATGCAGTGTATCAATTTTTTTATAGCTTTGAATTTAGTCAATATGGATGTGATCCAATTTTGATCATGTATAGGGATGGACCATATGGGCCCATCCATGTTATATTCCTTGCCACAATCACTACACTCTTATAGAACAACCGGACTGATGTGTCCTAAATAATATATTTTTAAGTGATATTTCATATACTTTTAGATACACTTTTATGATAAAAAAGGGTAAAAGGTGCATAATCGATTTATATTTATGTTTTACAGCTAAAATGATATGTTAGTAAAATATAAGCTAAAAATGACCACTAGTGTATATCTTCATGAAGTATTGAGAAATTAAGACAACTAGAATATAGCATGGAAAGAAATGATGATGTCTGAATTTATACTTTTGCATCATGATTTCGAGTCGGTTTGGGAAAACTATAAATAGAGCCCTAATTTTGTCCAAAAGCATACACATGACACTTGGACATCATAAGTAGGCATAACCTAGAAAGAAATAACCAAAGAGGGTCGTTTTAAGGGTCCTAATGTGATATCAGTTAGAAGCCTGATATGGATGCAAAGTTAGAATTTTAAGAGAAGAATCAGTAGGTTATCAATTTCTTTACTTTTATATCTAAGAATAATCAAATATTTGATTTATTAAGCGTCCTTGTTGATATTTAGGATCATTTCCTTTATAAATATTGATATTAATAAATACTTAATTTTATTGTTGATTAATAGTTGGATATTGAGACTTGTTTAATTTATTATGTTTGCTTAGTTAAAGACATATGAGTGTTAATATGGGTATTGTTATGTCTATGTAATTGAGTCTCATGATTCTGATTGATTTCAAATTATCTTCTTTAAATTACAATATTTGTTCAGTTTTCCAAGCTAAGAAACTAAGTCAAGAGCGTAGGTAATGACGACTAATGGAAGACTATGTCCCAAGGTTAGACATAGGAATATTTATTTGATGTTTGTGATTGTACTATTGATTAGACAATTTGAAAGGTTGCGACGACCAATGGGACCGATCATACTAATTAAGTCTTTCATACTACGAATTAATAGACTAAGACTATGAGTGCTATCCTTGTTTGTAGACAACTTAGAACATAAGATGTGTAACTTGATTATTCGATCTAATCAATTTAGAATCAATAACAACAAACTAATATCCATTTAAAGGAATTAAAATATAAAATAGGGAATGATTGAATAACAAATATGAGTACATTAAGATCTTTTATCTATACAATTAACCATGATTTTTTATATACTTATTTATTTGAGTGAAACTTATCATAAATTCCCCTTATATGTTTTCTTTTGAGGTTGATCTTTTATCTATAAATTCCCCTTATATGTTTTCTTTTAATGGTATTAAATCTTTGTTACCTAAGTATTTGACATCCTTACTTACCTAAGCAATGTTATTCATGATCATGTACACTACTTGGTTTAGATAGTTTTAGTTTGGTTTGTTTTTATAAATTTAAAAGTGAATTTTTATTTAAAGTTCGTAAAATCAAGTTTTTAGCTCCATTATCCGATGTAATGGTTTTCAAGTTATTTCAAATATATATATATATATATATATATATATATATATATATGTAACACCCGTTTATTTATTAGTTAAATAAATAAATTAATGAATAAATGGTAGTCCTAAAATAAATAATTATGTATGAAAGGATGGTCTTGAGGGGCTAATTGTAAAGATTTTAGAAGATGGGGATTGTTTGGTAAAAGATGGGACTTAATTTGAAAGGGGTTTTCGAGTTCAGGGTTTAAATGGTAACTATGGGGGTTTATTTTTTGAAAGAAAAGGGAATGGAGGGACTAAAGATGGTATTATGGAAAGTAGCTAAGGGGACCGGGTATATAAACCCATCACCCATTCTTGAACCCTAAACCTAATCGTTTCTTCACCAGCCGTAATCCTTATGACCCCTTAGTCGGCGCTGCTACACCTCCCGTCGACCGAATGGTGTGCCACCGGAGATGTTTCCCCCCTGACGAGTGCCGATGAACCCGAAGCATGCCAAAGACCGATCGAGTTCCTTGTAGCCATGGTCGGAGTCATGAGCCAACTGCCAAGAAACCGTTGTAACTGTTCTAAATCGCTGCTATTGTTCTTCTTCTTCTATTCATCTTGTCGTCGGCCGCCTTGTGGGTGGAGGGACTCATGGCATTTAGTGTTATCACCAGTGAGTGATGGTTTAGTTCAAGGTTCGTGTGCGACATGGGTGCGCTGTGGGGGGAAGTCCTGTCGAGTTGGGTCATGGAGAACCACCATGGCAACCGGCCATGGTGGCTGTCATCGCAATATGCCGCCTGTTTTCTGTGTTGTTGCCATCGCCACCCACCACAGGTGGATGTTGGGTTTATGTGCCCGAGCAAAAGGATGTGGGGGCGTGATTCTGCTTCAAGATCCGTGTGGTTTGCGTGTCTACTTGACTGAGAAACAAAAGAGATCACCACCACCACCGTGAGGTGGTAGCTGCCGTCCCAAAAGCTATTGTTGTCGCCGCTGTGAGCCACCAGGTGGGTGGCTGGGGTGCATCTCGCAATCTGAAGCATGTATGTGTGTTTTGTATGGTGTTTGTTTGGCCGGAAAATCGAGTATAACCACCATGTGCCGCCGCCGGCCGCCATTAGGTTGTTGTCTATATGTGATTGTAATAGTGTGTGTGTGTGTATTTGAGATTTAACATTGTAAAGTGTAATTACAAAGTGGAATAATGAAAAGAAACTCAAACCACCACCGTAGGGTGGTGGCTGCCGCCACCGGCTGCCGTGTCGGGTGGCGGTGTGCTTGTCTTGTGAGTTGACTCGATTGGGGATGCTTGAAACCCTAATGGACCTTGTTAGCCTGATGGGCCCAATAAAACCCAAATGGGCTTGATGACATTCTAGTGGACTTGATAGGCCCGATAAAGCCTTAATGGACCTAAAAGCCCAACAAATTGATAAATGGACTAATATTTGGGTTGGAAAAGCCATAATGTCAATAAAACCCTAATTTGTGGAAATTGCTTGGGACACACACGAGAATTAATTATTAAATCTGAAAAAATAATTAATAATCATTGGCAAACTAGCGTAAGGCATAATGGACTTAATGGATTAAGTCCTTAATTGGTAAAGAAAGAAACACTAAACCTTAATCATCATTTCATGTGAAAACTCTAATTTGGGATTATGGGCTTGGACTTATCGAGATCCACTTTTGGGCCATTGGAATGGAATTTTGTGATTAAGCCCAATCACACCATACGACTTATTTTGAAGAATGATGGACTTAATGGATTAAGTCCTTAGAGGAATAATTCCTTAATGGGTTAAGTAGGAAACTTAACCCTAATCGGCATTTTATGTGAAACCCTAACTTCACTTGGGTTTATTGTTGGGCCTTTCTATTGGGCCTTAATGATTGGATTATTAATGGGCCATCCAAGAATAATTATATGGGCTAAAATAATTTAATTGGCCTAGGGTAAGTCCCATGTAAGGGGTTGGGCCCAATTTGGAAAATTAGGCCATAGATGGACCATAGTTGGGCCTTAATGATTGTATTATGTTGGGTCATAAGACCACATATAGGCCTGGGCCCAATTTGGAAAATTGGGCCATATGCCGGGCTTTGATTCCTAGTTCTCTTTGGGCCTATGGTTTTGGCCTTGGGCTTGAATAAAGCCAATCTTAGGGTAATGTAGTAATTATCCAAGTATGTATTTATGGTTATGTGTTGGGACCCAATTATTAATTGGGTGTTAGTTTTGTGTTGACAGTTCTGGAATCTGTCATCCAGCAGCTGGGGTTGAGTCTGCGGGACTTCAGCAAGTGTGGGATTGTGTCTTCGGGACTTTAGCAGTGTGAGGTGAGTTACCTTCCAGTAGCGGTGAGTCTAAGGCCACACTGCCGGCCCACTAGTAGGAGATGTGTGATTAGATGATTGTCTTTGTGATATTCATCTAGGGTTGCTACTACCTGTGTTATGTTATGTGTTAGTGACAGTAGGGGAGATAGTCCCCCAGAATACCGGTCGATAGGGCCGAATGGGCGGTCATGCCCAGCCATGCTAGATAGACTATGTGATATATGTGTTATGTGGTAGTAGTAGGCGGTGAAATAGTCCCCAGTATCCGGTCGAGAGGACCGAAGGGGAGGACAGCACCCAGATATGCTAGGCAGTATCCGGTCGAGAGGACCGAAGGGGTGGCCAGCACCCAGATATGCTAGGCAGTATCTGGTCAAGAGGACCGAGGGGGAGGCCAGCACCCAGATATGCTAGGCAGCATCCGGTCGAGAGTACCGAAGGGGTAGGTCGGG